TGCTCTTGTAGGATTGTTGCAACGAGCCACTAGCCACGGTGATTGGAGCACAATTCATATACATCTCACGATTCCCAATACGATTGAACCATGTCCAGGCCAAAGTATATTTCCCGGGGTTAACGCCTTTGGGGATTGCAAAATCAAGGTGAAGGGCATTGTCGGCAGTGGCGCCTCCGGCGAGTTTCTCTGCCTTCGTGGGGCAACCTCCTTCATAGGACTTGATGACCATCCATTCAGAATCTTTGGTTGGCTCACGGTCTTCGGTCAGGCTCAGTTGGCATGAGCCGCCACCGTGGGTCGCGCTTCCTTTGAACTTGATTATGTTTTCAATGCCGATCTGGTAGACAGTTTCTGTTGAAGGGGCCAAGAATGCATCTGTGCGTAGTTTACAGGGAAAATCTCTACCATGTTCAGCGAGAGGAGAGTTGTTGAGGGTTTCCTTGCTGTAGGGCTCAGGGGACATCATGATCAGATGTCCGCTAACCGCCCGTAAGACGATCGTCTCCAACAATAGGATATATTTGATGAGAATCATAATGGTGGAAGGCTCGGTTGATCTTCGCTATATTGGAGCACCACTTGACGGATCGAATCCCTCGTAGAGGTCTAAGAATTTGGAAGTCGAGGAGACGTTTAATTTATATAAGATATGCAGCAAGACACAACACCAACACTGTTTATTCATTGAAATCAATGTGAAAAGAAAGCTGATGTGAGTCAATCAAAGGTTTGCTCAGAATAGTGATGCCACATATAAGTGCTTGTTCGAAGCTCATGAGTAGGACAGATGAGTGGGTTGAAAGCGAAAACTCATCACATATCTGACACTTTATTCAATATTGGCAAGTGGATGTGTTAACCCGATGGTGCGGCTTTGTTCCTAGTCTGTCCCAGTTCCATATCACAACATGATGAAATGAACACTCTAGGAATGCAAATTCCAATTTGGCGCCGACATTTTTTGCTCCTATGAGTGGACCGACAGTGTACTGGTGAGTCAATTAAACGATATTGGAGGGCTCAATTGTAACTCACCAGAGTCAACGAAGCTAGAGGGAAACGTGAAATCAGACCACGCAGTACAGTATAATGATCAGAGAGTTCGAATCTACTGTGTATGGGACGCTAGAAATCTTGGAATCAACTCTTGTTGTAGGAATATCCGAGATGCTGTTGACATCATTTGCAT